CAAAATATTTCGTATTAATTATTTTGTGAATAAAATATCTTTAATAATTTTCGTTCATAAATAATAAATGTTATGGAGAATCTCTTTCTCTTTTTTATGAACATTGAATAATTAAAGAATTAGAAGAGGAATTTTTATTTTTTTGGCTGAGATTCGGATAAATACACTCCCCTATGAACTTTAATGTGCTCCCACATAATTCCCAAAAAAACTTTCTCCTTTTATTCTTTAGTAAGTGTCTTAAGAACATTGGTTAGAGGGATATTAATTACTTTAGTTCATAAAAAGTAGATTCTATTAATTGTTTCTTTCTCACCCTAAGAAGTTCAAAGATTAGTTTTAGGGCATGTTTGCTTTGATGTTTAGCAAAGAAATGTATTGATTTTGAAATAGTAGTATAAAATAATTATTAATTTGACCAAGTAAATGTCTTAACCTCTTGTTATTGAATATATGTTTATATACTCAATTATCTATTCTCTTAGGTAAAAAATATTATTTGAGTAAAAAGTGAAAAATTTAGGGATGGCAAAACGGGCTAGGTCCGGTGGGCCGGCCCGCTAGCCCGCCATAATATGGCGGGGCGGATTGGTGTTTTCAGCCCACCAGCCCACTTCGGCCCGTCCCGCCAAGCTCGTCAACCCGTCGAGCCAACCCGCGAGACGGGGCAGGCCAGCCTGCGGCCCGCCTAATTAATAAAAAAATAATTTTTTATTGTAATAAAATTAATTATAAAGATAATATATAAAGTTAAAAATTTTAAAAAGAGAATTAAAAAAGTTTCATTCTCACAGAAAATATTCTCCTTCCCGAAATATACATTCTCTTTTGTTCTCCTTGTTTATCCTATGTACTCGATTATTTTTATCCTTATTACTTGAATTAAAGGTGTAAGAATTACTCAACAAAGAATAATATAAAGTTTTATCAAATAAAAAAAATATAGGTATTTGAATTTTTCAATATAAAAAATATAAATTTTATAAGTTAACGTTATTTATATATATATATATATATATATATATATATATATTATTTCAATTTAATAATATAAATCAATACATTATTTTAAGAAATTATAATTTAGAGCAATAATAAAATTGAAATTGAAATAATATATATATAAAATAATGTATTGATTTATATTATTAAATTGAAATAATATAAATATATATATATATATATATATATATATTAAATTATTAACAAACAAATACTAATCTTATTATTAAATTTATTAAAAAAAATTATTTTAAAAAAAATTATTTTTTTCTAAATTATGGCGGCCAAGACGTCATGACTATATCAAGTTAGCCTACCCCGCTCCGCGTTTGGCGGACCAAAGGCGGGGCGGGCCAAAACGAGACAGGCTGACCCGTTTTGCCATCCCTAGACAAAATATGCATATCTACCATTTTATAACAATATAATAACCTATTTTAGAATTTTTTTACTTTCGAATTCTAGAAAAGAATGAAAAGTTTAAACTCAATCACTCTTAACCTTCTAGAAAGTCTATTTGAATATACAGATTTTAAAAAAGAGATAAATAAAACAACTTAAAACCTTTTTTTTTTAACTGATTTGTACAAACTTCACTGCTGTTAGATTAGATATACTTTAGTGAGTCATTCTAGAACCTGATTTTTTATATTTGTCACGCTACTATTTGAAAAATTTTGAAGTTTGGAAGTGTGACTTCACCTTGAATAGACTCGTTCAAATAATATTTTGATTATTTCTTAAACAAGATTGAAATAAAAGAAAATACCTGTAATACTCAGAGTCAACTTAATTCTTACCAATAACTTGTTCTTTTTGTGGATACCACTTGTTAACATGTTAATTTTGTCAGTGAAAATTTTAAACTCACAATTTATTGATTTTTTTTGTTTTCTTTTCATTTGTATTATAGGCCAACTTTATATCTCCTGTATTTATCAGTAATTAAAGATAATTTTACTATAAAAATAAATCAATGTAATTTGTTTTCGCTTTCTTGCTTAAACACTAGTTTTCAAATGCAAGATTTTTTTCTTTTGCATACGATAATATTAGAAACACTATGTTTTAAAGATTAACACAATCCATCTCTCACTTATTGTGTCTTTTTGCCTTTATACGCATTAATCAAAATTAAAGAATTGAAGAATCTAATTAAAAATTTACTATTGTTATTCTTTACATTAATTAATTATTTAAAAATTACAATGATAGACAGATTCTATAACGATCATATAAATCGTTATTATAATGATACTTTCGCAAAATAGGAAACAAGTAAATAACAATATTTATATTACATTATATTACTGTAATTGTAATATAGACTAAAATCTCAGTTCATAGGCGGAACTTCAAAACATAATAACATAATTTATTTATATAGATACATACAAAAGTAGTTCCCACAAAGCTATCCCACTGAACTATCATTGTTGTTCAGTAGTCGCATCTCCACCTCTCAACTCATAATCTGCTCCCACATAAAATTGATCATCGGAGTCTCATCCACATGAAAAAATAGGAGTAAGTATTAAATCATTCGATATAATAAAAAAGATATAGAAGTAATAATTACATATTATCATCAATTATAAATCATCAATACACTAAGATGTCTTTCGAAAGTCTACCCTAACTATGCCCGAACTCAGAGGCTATCATTTGTGGGCACATTGTGATCGGCACCCGTAGTACCATTCTGACCACCCTCCACACAGAGTGGGATTACTGGCGCCCTTCATCACTCATACTGGATTACCCCTCCGAGCGCGGCATCAGTCATCCCCATCGACTTCTCACCACCTGATCTCGTAGTCTACCTGACCCGACCAATCAGTGAAGTTTGGGACCTCATTCAAAATTCTTCGATATAGTTATTACACTAATGTACTCTGTTCCACCCCGGGTACCATTCAAACACAACAAAAATCATTCACCTCTGTCGGATTCTGGACCACTTGTCCTCACGGCTCATTCGAGTCAATAAATAATAGTATTTGACTAATTCTAGACATCAACCCTTTGGCTCAGTCTAGCCAATACATAACATCTCATGACTGATTCTGGACATGAGTCCTTAGACTCAGTCTGACCCACACACATCACAACACACTACTGAATCTTTAAAACTGCTACCTTCATAATATATTTTAAATACACACACACACACACACACACACACATATATATATATATATATATATATATATATATATATATATATATATATATATATATATATATATATTTCAAAACCATTTCATGAAATAATTAAATTACTATTTTGCCCTTAATCTTTTCTCGAAAATTCCATTTATGTTCCTAAATGACTATTTTACCTTTGGACATTTTCAAAAATTTCTTCTATGTCCCGAAAATGACTATTTTACCCTTGAACATTTTCAAAAATTCCTTCCATGTCCCGAAAATGACTATTTTACCCTTGAACATTTTCACAAATTCTTTCCATGTCCCTTTCTTCTTCCTCGCGTCCAAGAATGAGTATCAAATTTTGCAGATTTTAATAGATTTCAAATTACTCAGTTTTAGACAACCAAACTAGTCACAAATTCAAATTAAACATGACTTATATCTAATTTAAGTTAAAAACAACAATTTTATCATATAATTTATCCTTAATTTCAAGAATTCCAACAAAATTTCAAGTTTTGCAAAACATGAGAAATCTTCAAAATCAATCATTCTAATTTCCACTCTTATTCCTTATTCACAGAGTACTCAACAATTCAGTCTCATATATTAAATGAATTAAATTTCCTCTTACCTAGTGTGGTATTTCTACCGAAATTTTCCCACTTGATTCAAGTTCTCTTCCGTTTCACCAATGCAGTCTCGCTGCTTGAAATTTAGACAAAAGAAGAAAAAGGATGAAAGGGATAACTACTTGCTAACTTTTTTCTGTCTCCTCCTCCTTTCGTACATACATATATATAAAAGAAAAAATTTTACTATTCATAAGAAAAACTTCGTTACCAAGTTTTCTTACACAATAATATTATTATAATATATAATAAAACATCACGTCCCATATTTAATATTATTAACTAAATTAATATATTTTATTAATAAGAATGAATCAAGTATTTTATTTAAATACATTAAAAAAAATTGTTGGATAAATATTTTTTATTAATGTTAATTATAAATAAATATATACACAACATTTTAATTTTATTATTTATTTATTTATTTTGAATACAATATTATTTTTTAAAAATTGACAGACTTGATTAAATATTTAATTAATAAAGAGATTAAAGATATATAGTGTTACAAAATTAAACAATCTAAAAATAAAATAAAATATTGATAAAAATATAAAAAATAAATCAAAATCAAATTTTTTATTAATTTTTTATTAATTTTTTTTATTCTTAATTTCATTATGAGAATCAACCAAAAACCAGATTAAAATTATAATATATATTTATTAAAATATAAAATAATAATTTTTATGAACGACTCAATTAATTTATTATAATTTAGATCTATTATTATTTTTAAATTAAAAATAAAAATAAATTAAATTTATAAATATCATAATTAATTATGAATAATATTTTTATGATATATTTTTTTATTGAATAAATATTTTACTATAATAAATTTATTGATAAAAAATTAATAATTTGATATGATTTAATTTCTTTTTTTGTAATGAAAACCAAATTAAATGAAACTGAATTCAAATTTTTGTTTTTTCTCTGGTCGACGTGAATTTTAGTGCAAAACCAAAAATCCCACCTACTAGAGAATCATATTTTTGGATAGATACTATCATGTTATATTTTATGTTGAAGGAACTGTGTGTCTCTCCAAGATCTTCTCCCAAGTCAATTATCCCACCCTCTATATAAAGGCCACACAATCCTCACTTCATGCTACTCTCCTTACTCTGAAGAAGGAAGAAGGAAAAAAAATAAAATAAAATAAAGGTAAAAGAAGAAGCATAAAGTGTACCAAGTTATCGAGAAATGGCATCATGCAACAACACCACCGTTCAGGACCAAAGAGAAACACCCATACACCAAGACATCTTAGAGACCGTATTCTCTTACGTGCCACTCATCCACCTCGTCTCAGCTTCTCACGTGTCACATGCCTGGAGCCGTGCGGTCTCCACCTCCCTCCGCCACGTCAACCCCATCAAACCCTGGCTCACGCTGCACTTCCAGAACCGCCGTGCACCGCACCTCATCAACACCTTCGCCTACGACCCACGCTCCCGCGCCTGGTTCCAAATTCACGCGCCGCATCCCACCCACACTTCTGCGCTACGCGCGTCGCACTCCTCACTCCTCTACACGCTCTCTCCCAGTGAGTTTGCCTTCTCCCTTGACCCCCTGCACCTCCACTGGCACCACGCGGTCCCCCCTCGCGTCTGGCGTATCGACCCCATCGTCGCGCGCGTGGGAGCCCGCATCGTGGTAGCGGGAGGCGCGTGCGACTTCGAGGACGATCCCCTGGCGGTGGAGATCTACGACACGGAGTCCCGCACGTGGACCCGGTGCCAGTCGATGCCGGCGATTCTGAAGGACTCCTCAGCTTCCACGTGGCTCTCGGCGGCCGTCGCCGGAGAGAGGATGTACGTGATGGAGAAAAACTCCGGCGTGACTTACTCGTTCGATTGCAACACGATGACGTGGCAGGGCCCGTTGGAGCTGCGTCCGAATCGAAGCGTTTTCCACTGCGTGATCGGAGCGATACGCGGTGGTTTAATGGTGGCGGGGATGGTGGGGGAGGCGGAGAACGTGAAGGAGGTGAAGTTGTGGGAAGTGAAATGGGGAGAAGCGTTGGGGAGTGAATTAGGGCATTGGTGTGAAGAGTTAACCACGATTCCGAAGGAGATGACGGTGAAGATTATGGGTGAGGGTGGGGGTTCCATTGAGGTGAACTGGATTGGGAATTCTGTGTATTTTCAGAATCGTAGAGAACCGGAGGAGATTGTTGTGTGCGAGGTTGCGAGTGGCGGAGGGTGTGAGTGGGAGAGCGTGAGCAACGTGACCGTGAGTGATGTGAGTCGCATGGGGAGAACAGTGTTTTGCGGAGCCCATGTGGGGCTTGAAGACTTGAAGAGGGCGATCAAGAAAAATTGTGTGTTTGTGGAAAAAGTAACAGATAAATTTAAGGATGGGTAAATGGATTTGGTGATGCAAATTTTAGGAGATGGAACGGTCTATAATATGTTGTTATAATTTGTCTTGATTCGACCACTTTGTTCAAATTATGACGAGGACTATCATGTTTTCTCTTTTCTGTCTGTAGGGTCAATAAGTGGTTGTGATGACACCATCATGGGACTGGTTGTTGTTTTTGTCTTCTATTCTGGTTCTGGAAATCACAATATGGTTTTGATTCCTGTGCTTGTCATTTAACAAGAGTGAGCCATGCTGAATATTGTAACCATAACCTATTACTGAGTGCAATACAAAAGAATGAAAAAGAATTATGTAAATCTATACCAGTTTTACATTAAAAAAATATAAAAGAAAAATAAATAAACTTGAAATGAAGTTAAAATTAGTTCATATACAAATTCATTTGTAAAAGATGTTTTAAAAAAAAAAGTTATGTAAAAATACATAAATAATTAAAAGGCCTGTCTCTACAATGTTTCACGTAAATTGTATTAATATTTAATTTTTTGTTGGATTATATTTACTGCTTCATAATTTTTTATCAATATATGTTGTTGGCCTTGCAGAGTAGAATGCTAAAAATATAACATACCCATGAGGAAAAAAAATAGGAATAGTTATAAATTAAAATGATTAAATAGAAATGTATTATAAATATAAAAGTATATTTAAAAATTATAAAATGAGTAATTTGTACTGTTATGCAAGATTATTTTAGTTTTTGAGAGATTATTTAAAATTATTGAAATTTAATTTAGAACTAAAGATTAAAAAAGGATAAACGAAGAAGAAATAAACAGTTAAAGAATAAATAACCAAATAAAGATAAATTTGAGATGATTGAGAGCGTTTTTGAAAGCTCGTTAAATTAACTTGAATATAAAATTAAAAATATATTTTAATTCATATATAAGAGAATGTACTTTTGACCCTTTCTCATTTTAATTCGACATAAGTGTATTCAAATCATAAGAATATTCACAAATCAAAAGGATAAATATCTTTTTTTATTTGGAAATGAATATAAAGTAAGTATTTACTTATATAATTTAAAAATCTTTTTATTTGGAAGTGAATATAAAGTAAGTGTTTACCTATATAATTTAATGAAGATGTAAATGCGGGTAGAGATATTCGCACGATGAAGCCACGCGGCACTCGGAACATAAGTGTTATCGTCATTAAGTAATGGGTATAAGTGGAAAGGTCTAGCCTACGAATAAACATGTCTCATCCAGAAGTAACGGGAATAAGTGAGATGAGAATATATTCTCCATCCACACCGGCCATCAATGTTTGGTGAAGAAATAAAAATGTTCTAAGCTTCTGTTAGGGTTAAGTTTTATATCTGTGGTATTTTTCTTTTTAATATTCTTATTTCTTATAATTTTATTTTTAAAGGATATTTTAATAATTTAAATATATATATATATATATATATATATAAATTATCTTAATTATTAACTAAGATGAAGCTCATTATAGTAAAATAATTATTATATATATATAATCTTATTAAATAATTATTTTATATAATTTAAAGTTATGAATGTTTTACAATATTTAGTTATGACTTATATTTAAATTATTTATGTTTTAGTTGTTTTTAATATAATATTTGAATGTTTTTAATTATATTTAGGTTATTTAACACTAATATAAAAAGTTTATTTTTCAATTTTTTTTATGCCAAGTGTTCATTTTGTGTGAAAATGGTAAAAAAATTGATTGCATACATCTAAAACTTTTCTACCGTAGAGAATGCGAGTGTTTAAATTTAACAATTATTATGTTTTTTTAATGTTGTTTGGCTATTATTTATGTTGAGTTATTTTTATGTTATATTTGGATGCTTTTGATGTTGTTTAGAGTCTAGGTTTAGATTATTAAAGGTGAAAATTTTATTTTCAAAAAATTACTGAAATGAGATATCAGATTAAAACAAAAAATAATATGACAATTATTTTTTTAGGTAACAGTGTAATTGAAAAATAAAATATTAACTACACAAGTAAAATTCTGTAGTAATTTTGAGTTAGTAATTTTATAAGTTAATTGATTTTTAAATATATTTAAGATCTTCCATTAAAATTAATATGATAAATAGAAAACGAGTATGAAGACGATGTTCACTAAATATCTCACTTATATTTATTGTACACAACTTATAATATATAATTTTGAGAATATTAGATAGTCTACTTTTTCTAAATCTACCTCCTACAAATTTTTTAATAATAATAAAATAAAATTTGTATCAGTATACATTATTAAAATTGCTGTATGATGAATTTTTCTTTATCAAAAAGATTATCTATTTATATTTTTTCTTTTAAAAGTTAAACCGATAACATTATGAATTATTTATTTAAATATTTTAATGAAATTCTAGTCAAGATTGTAAAAAACCTCTTCACAGCCAATTTTTATCTTGATTTTGTTTTGGAAGAATTTTTGAAATATTTTGTGAGTTTGGACGAGATTTTTGTAAATCGGGTAATACAATGTAATAATATTCAATACTTTATTTTCAAATTCTTCTACTAAGTGGAGATGTTTCTAAGAATCGAACTATGAAAAACTCTATATTAATAAAAAATTAATTTAGTTTATTGAAGTCATTTTAAGAAGATTTGTAGATGATACTATCAAAACCATTTTTAAGAATCCTGAAGATGTCTGAAGTTCAAGTACCTTCATATTTTAATCAATGATGATATCACCTGTCATCAAAAAAGGCAAAATCTCTATGACAAGTGTATCTAACGAAAAGTCTATCTTTATAGATAAGATAAATAGGTACTTCATATGGGATGCAGAGCATGATATGTGTGACTCTGACTATAATTGTTGTGATCACACTAAAAATATTAGTGACGAGGACGATGATGACTCAGACGTAGATGATGACTTTGGAGGAGAATCATGCAAACCTCACTTCTCTCCTAACAGACTTATATTATTATTCCATGCATGATGATTAACCCAACATCCTGTAAAGAGGATTTTTCTCCTCTTGAAAGGAACATTGATCCTGTATCCAAGATGACAATCAAACCATATGTTATGTCAAGAAGTCAAATTAGATGGGCAAACAAAACCACTGAGCCAAGCTGAGAAAGTAAACTGGTAAACTGAAAATGACAGAGCCCAAAACTCCATCTTACAAATAATTGCTCAGAAGATAGATAAAATTTCAACACATCTTAAAGAAACTGATTAAAAACTCTAACATTTCAATTCAATTTTGAGAAAGTATTATAAACAACTTTCCTCAGGACTCTCTCAGTTAGAGGAATATTGGAAAAATACCATTTTTGGAGAGTTATCTCATGCCAAAGAAAAGAATATTAGAAGACTTAAGGCTCAAATTCAAGAGATGGACAATTACATTGAGGCAAAAGTCAAACAACAGAAAACTGAGAAAGATCTCCATCTCTGTTTACTTCAACTCCTACATACTCCTCTTTCTAGAAACTGTCTTCATTCTTCCAACCACCAACACAATCTTCCTGGTCTTTACCTACAACCATCGCCTATAGACCATGGCTTAAACCAGAAACATCAAAGCTAGACAAAGGCAAAGAAAAGAAAATTAGCCCATCTTCTCAAGAATCTACCCATGAAACTCTACTCTCACCAAAAAGACAAGCTCATCAAGACCCATTTAACCTCATTTTCCAATACTATCAAGATCCATATTCTTAAATGACCATAAAGTTTTGTCCATATCCAAAGAATATTCTTACAATTTTTGAAGAGTATTCCTCTAAAGATTCAGAAATAAAAGTTCTCAGTTATGCATATTAATGACCAACACCTCCAAATTTGAAGTT